CAGAGCAGTTCTCCCCTGCCACCTCCTGCACCTGCAACTAGAGGTGGCTGAAGTTCCAGGCTCTTGCCTGTCTTCCAGGTGGGGACCCCAGACTGCCTGGCCCCCTGGAGCCCCCGGAGAAATTCTGGTGGTGCTGGGCTAGAAGCATCAGCAGGAGACTGTGGTCATATAGGGCACCTCTGCGGGGGATCTGACCAGGCTGACCTCCACTGAAGAGTCTGGAGGCCAGTTCTGATCCTCAAGGAGCCTGCTGCTGGCTCTGCCCGGGGTTGGGGGGCGCTCTGGAGACCCCACCTAGAAGGGGAGGGGAGCTGCCCCAGGTGAAGTCTGAGGTTCCCTCTACATTCTACCATCATCACTGCCAACCTCCACCCAGATGAGTGATGAAAGAGGAAAGCCCTTGCCCTTGGGGCTGTGGACACACCCGTGGGGTCCCATTATGACTGATGAGTGATCAGATATTCTCCCATAGCCCTGGGGCACTTGGCCCCTGAGCCAGCAGCACCCCCAGTTCAACACATGACGAAGAGCCCCTGAAATGCAAGAGAAACCCACCACCCAAGAGCCCTTCATGGGCTTCGGATGTGGGGGCTCTACTTGGCCCCTCCCCAGGGCTCTGATGGAAGCCGCTGGGTTGGCCTGAGCAGTTGTGGCCAGGGAAAGTGAGGCAGGCAGGGTGGGAGGGACGGAAGCCTATGGGTCCCAGGGGGGAAGCACGGACCCCACAGAAACAGCCCTGTGAGAACTCCAGCACACCGGCAGGATGTGGAGGATACGGACCACACAGGACAGTCAGACAAGGCATCACTTGGGAAAGTGGGCAGTTGGACACAGATACAGCTTGTCCTCCTTGGATTTTGAAATGGAAAAATCCCAAGGAGCATTCCAAGATATGAGCAAAGTGGGGTCACTTGTACTTAATATCTGCTTTGCAATACTTTTCTTGTGTTTCCCCAATTTTTTGTCCATCCATCCACCCACCCACCTATCCATCATCTACCTAACCATCCATCCCACTTCAAGATTTAAAAAATTTTTTTAAGTGCTCAGGACCAGAGTTCCATAAAAGTGAAGGGCATTAAGCAGAAAGAGTTAGTCACTCAGTCATGTCTGACTCTTTGCAACCCCATGGACTGTAGCCTAGCAGACTTCTCCGTCCATGGGATTTCCCAGGCAAGAACATTGGAGTGAGTGGGTTGCCATTCCTTCTCCAAGGGATCTTTCTGACCCAGGGACAAAAAGCAATGGTGGGGATAATTGGTGGTCTGGCCTCAGACTTCCTCTCCCCTAAACAGATTTGTCTCACTTGACCACTTAGTGGGGTCTCCACTAAGCCATGCTGAGCCGTGGACAGCCCCACCAAGGGCTGCTTTACTAAGGTCCTCAGAGCATATCAGCTCGGTGCCAGTTCCTTCTTACTGCTCCACCAATATGGCTTTCATTAGTGTCATGTGACTGACATCCAGTCCAGGTTAATGAGCCAGCCTCATGGGAGTCTGAGAGAGGAGTGATCTAGGGTGCTGTTCCTCTCCCAGCTGTCTTGAAGAGAACAACAGAGTAGACAGGGCTCTGGGTGCCATGCTGAAGCTCAAAGGTCACCAAGAAAGGAGGTGGACAGCACGACTGGATGCACAGCTCAACTACTAAGAAAGGGAAGGTGGGTGGAAGGGCAGGAGGGAGGGGGGAGGGAAGATAATTAAGCAGGAGACTGGGTGGATGAATGGATGGAGTTGGTGAATGAGTGGGTGGATGGGTGAAAGTGTTGGTGGGTAGATGGATGGTGGATGGGGTAAGTGACCAGATAGATGGATGGAAGAGTGGATGGTGAATTGGATGAATGGGTGGGTGGATGGATGGGTGAGTGGGGAGATGGATGGATAAATGGATGAATGGGTAGGTGGGTGGGTGAATGGATGGATGGGTGGGTGGGTAGATAGATAGATGGATGGATGGTGGATGGAAAAATGGATGGGTGGATAGGTGATACAAGTTCCCATCTAAGAGATTCAAAGGGACTAGTCTCCCAGGAAGAGTGCCCAGGTCTCTGGGCTCGTCTGAGAATGCCTGGAACAGAGTGGTGGGAGAGAAGTCATCCTTGGGCAGGGGGCTAGATTCCCACAAGCTCCCTCCAATACATCCACCATTCTCTTTCTCGCATAAGCAGTGCCTGTCTTGCCATCTACAGAGTCCTTCTGTTCCTTCAGGCTGGCAGCTGACCCTGGTCCAGACCTTCAGCAAGCAGGGTCTGGCCACCAGATGTCAGCCAGCTCTAATGAGCTCAGTCTGCTGGTCACTAATTGGCTAAGGCTCTGGGCACTGGTGACAGAGGAACGAGGGATGACAGGACAGACAGGGACCCTGGCCCAGGGCTTAGCTGGCCTAGGCTCAGTAGCCAGGGCAGTGAGCAGCAGGGTGCCCAGCAGATCCAAGGCCTAATGCCTGGCAACTGCCCAAGGCTGCCCAGTTGCTGTCCAACTCCCATCGAGGGCATGGGCCATGTGGGGGCTGGGGGGCTGCGGTTGGGTGTGACCACTGGGGCAGAAACCAGAGCAAGCTTTCCTTTACAGGGTGGAAGCGTGCCCTGCAGTCACCATGGTGTAAGCCTTGCCCGGCGAAGGAGATGGCGTCATGGACGGTTCTCCCGCAAACTCAGTCAAGCGATTTATGATGCATGACTGGCACTGGTTGGTGACAGGGCGGCCCTGGACAGAAGCTTATGACTGGAGCTGGAAGAGGGGAACCATCTGGGATTAATAGCAAACACAACCCCACAGTGACTGCTCAGAACATTGCAGCCACTGAAGGGGCTGAGATAGCTGCAGCCATCCATGAGAACATGTGCACCGAGATACCCAAGGCCCCTCCCTGGCGTCCAGACCAGGTGGCTGGAGGGATGAGCGGCAGACAGGGAGGAGGAAGGAGGGCTGGATGGAGGCTTCTGGGCACCTGAGCAGCACGAGTTGGAATTCCCGCCCAGAGGGGAGCTTGAACCCAGCAGAGCATCATGTAGCTCATAAACCCACCGGTTTCTCAGTGACCATATGGTGTCACCCCCCAGAGATTAGCCTACTTCTTGGCAGTGGGGTCTTCCTGCCTCTCTCCAGGTGATGGACAATCTGTTAGCAGGTCAGACACTTTCAACGGTGGAGACAGAAGCCTTCCCAGAGCCTGGGACCGCTGAAACAGCACATCCAGGAGTGCGACAGGGGAGCTGAGTTCCTGCTGTGGTCCTCTCAGCCACATGCACAGAGGGGAGTACTGCAGGGGTCCACTCTGCAAGGCATGTGGGCCCCAGTGGTCATGGCCATCATGGGTGGTAGGAAGTGAGAGGGTCTCAGACCCAGGGTGGAGGGCTGTCTGACTCTCAGGCTCAGCAGGGGGAGTGAAAACATTTAGGAAGCGGGGTCCTGGATCTCCTTAGACAGCTTCACTTGGAGACATGGACTTGATGGCCAGCCCAGCCTTCACAGCTCTCTCCTTGAGGGTCTGAGCTTGTCCGGGATGGGCAGGGGTGATGGAGGGATGGAGCACTGCCCACTACAGGTCTAGCACTGGTGGGAGGGCCTGGACCTGCCAGACAGGCCATCGTGCACACTGGGCCTTTGGAGATGGTGGAGGCAGTGCAGTGTGTGTCTGTGGAGCTGAACCAGGGTGGGGCGCTGGCCTGGGCATCACTATGCATCGTGCTGTGTCATGTGACCTCAGACCACCACCACCCAGCTGGTCAGTCCAAGCTCTCATGAGCATTTGTCCTCCCCGGCTCTGTTCCCCTACAAATGCCCACATCCCAGCCAGCCCTGGGCCCCCAGGACACAGCTCAGCCTTGGCATTTGACGTCTGCACCCATTATGCTTATATCACCACCCATGTGGGCTGCTTTTAGGGCCAATATCTAGAAACCTTGAGGTCACACTCCTGATTCAGCATGGAGTGTTTGGTAACAATGGGAAAGTTATAGCAAAGCCTGAGAACCCAAGTGCACAGGGCTTTGTGACGCAAGCGGGCTGGAATCCTCAAGACACTGCATTCTCTGACCATCCCCAGCCCAGCAGCCTCCAGGCACACAGGCTGCCTCAGCATCACAGCCTGCATCTTTGAGGTCCCCACAGTTCTGGGCTGTGTGGCTGAGGGCGGAGCATCACCCACCATCAACCCCATGTGCATGTGATTCCATCCTCAGGGGAGAATCTCAGTGACACTAAGTCTCTATTGATCCCTTCCAGGCTCAGCACTGGGGCGCCCACAAAGCTGGTCTACACAACACGTCTACAGCACACACCCGCATTGTGCATCAACACTACATGACTAGCACCTATTCCCTTTTTGCTGGTGGCGGGGTAGGGGGGTTTCCCTTATGACTCAGCTGGTAAAGAATCCACCTGCAATGCAGAGGACCTGAGTTCGATCCCTGAGTTGGGAAGATTCCCTGGAGAAGGGAAAGGCTACCCACTCCTATATTCCAGCCTGGAGAATTCCACGGACTGTATAGTTCATGGGGTCACAAAGAGTTGGACACGACTGAGCGACTTTCACTTTCACTTCACTTAGAAGGGTCAGCGGGACACACAGAGAGGGCCACCCATGGAGGCGTGGGTCTGGAAGGGTGGTGGTCCCCTGGGAGAACATTCTGGAAGGGAAAGGAGCTTGCTGGAGGGAGGGGGGCAATGATTGTGGAAGTGACAGAATGTCAAGTCAGCATCCTGTTCACCAAGACTGGCTCCACCCTCATCAAGAAAAAAGTCACCCCTGGGTCCCGGGTCTGTGCTCCCTTCCAGATTGTTCTCCCAGCTGGAACCAGCCCAGGGTGTGAGCGTGGGGCTATGGGAGAAGGTGGTCTCCATCCAGCTCCTCGTGGGCTTGGCTAAACCTGCAGCCTTGCCAGCCTCAGTGACCTGGTCACTTCTGACCATGCTTCAGTGGGCTTGGCCAACTGTGTCACAGACCAGAAACAGAGATGTCCCAGGCTTTGATCAGGGATGCCCCGCCATGAAACCTCAGATATTTGTTTTCACAGGTCATTGGGTTCCCGACATCTTGACCACTGGATTTGTGACAGTGCTTCTGGGGCTGCAGAGGGCAAGGAGGGGCCCTGACATCAAACCAGAGCAGGGACACATGTGCCTGGAGAGAGAGCTATTAGGCCCAGAGGCCTCTGCCTAGCAGCTACCCTGTGAGACAAGGTCAGGCAGGGCTCATGGGGCAAAGAAAAGAGAAATTTCCAAGAGCTTCCTGGAAGAGTCTGAATCCCAAAAGTACATTCTGAGTGCCTGCGGTATTGGAGCCTTGGGCTCCACCTGGACCTGTGCCAGGTGCTTGGTCATCCCCTTTAGCAAAGAGAAGTGTGTTTGTCACCCTCCAAACAAAGGGCCAGAGACTCCAGATTTATGGGCTGGCCCTGGCTGGGCTGCTCCACGGGCTCTAAGGCCAGCGGGTCCCAGACCCGCAGGAACAGCTGGCCTTCCTGTCTGGAGTCTCACCAGTTGGGGCAGGTGTGTGCAGAGACTCTGGGCCCCCACCCCCGAAGGCCCTCTGATGTTGGCCAAGGACAATCGTTGCCTTGGCTGGATTGTTACATATGGGTCGTCATCCCTGAAAAGGCCTCAGCAGCCAGGCTTCATGAGAGTAGAGCAGCTCTGCGAGGTGGAGATGGAGAGTTCTTGGGGACTGGCCGTCTGCTAGCCCTGCGTGGGAGATACCCCAAGACCGTGGAATCCTGCGCCTTGAAACTTCCAGAGGAGCCTTGTATGTCACAAAGTGGCCTGAGGGGCTTCCAGCTTATTTGGGGGGAGTGCAGATGAGGATGCTGCAGGCATGTTTGACCCGCGTGTATTAGACTGCCCAGCGGTGATTTTCGACAATGGGTCCGGGCTTTGCAAGGCAGGACTGTCTGGAGAGATTGGCCCCCGCCATGTCGTCAGCTCCGTCGTGGGGCACCCCAAGTTCAAGACGCCTTTGACAGGGGCCAACCAGAAGAAGTACTTTGTGGGGGAAGAGGCCCTGCACAGGCATGAGGTCCTTCATCTGCACTACCCCATTGAGCATGGCCTGATCACAGGCTGGGACGACATGGAGAAGCTCTGGAAGCACCTGTTCGAGTGGGAGCTAGGAGTCAAGGCCAATGACCAGCCGGTGCTCATGACAGAGCCTTCGTTGAACCCCAGGGAGACCCGGGAGAAGATGGCCGAGGTGATGTTTGAGAGCTTTGATGTGCCCGCCTTCTACCTGTCGGACCAGGCCGTGCTGGCCCTCTACGCCTCGGCCTGCGTCACGGGCCTGGTGGTGGACAGTGGGGACGGGGTCACCTGCACTGTCCCCATCTTCGAGGGCTACTCCCTGCCCCACGCTGTCACCAAGCTCTATGTGGCGGGGAAGGACATCACAGAGCACCTCACCCGGCTCCTGCTGGCTAGCGGGAGGACCTTCCCGTGTGTGCTGGACAAAGCCCTGGTGGACGACATCAAGGAGAAGCTGTGTTATGTGGCCCTGGAGCCTGAGAAAGAGTTGTGCCGAAGGCCGGAGGAGGTCCTCCGCGAGTACAAGCTGCCCGACGGCAACATCGTTCCCATCGGGGACCAGCTGTACCAGGCGCCCGAGGCTCTGTTCTCGCCTGAGCAGCTGGGCATCCAGAACCCGGGCCTGTCCAAGATGGTCTCCTGCAGCATCACCAAATGTGACGCTGACATCCAGAAGACCCTCTACGGGGAGATTGTACTGTCCGGCGGCACCACACTCTTCCAGGGGCTGGATGACCGGCTTCTGAGGGAGCTGGAGCAGCTGGCCTCCAAGGGGACCCCCATCAAGATCACGGCACCGCCCGACCGCTGGTTCTCCACGTGGATCGGTGCCTCCATTGTCACCTCCCTGAGCAGCTTCAAGCAGATGTGGGTTACCTCTGCTGACTTCAAGGAGTTTGGGACATCTGTGGTTCAGAGAAGATGCTTCTGAGGGGCCCCGAGTCCAGGGCAGCCTATAGGTGGGAAGTGTGTTCACCATGTGGCATCCTCGGGATGTTCAATAAAAGACAAGATGGGGCAGTGTTTGGCCATGTCAGGCTCGGTTCATTCTCGGGGCACCAGAAAAATTTCTGACCCTGGTGGGGAATCTCGTTTCAGTGGTTCCATCCCCTGGCCCCCTTTCTCCCGAGAAAACCCTGGGTTATGAGTTGAGTGTCCTTACGTAGAGTTTGTGCCCAAAGCAAGGGCCCAGGGCTCCTGCCCAGAACCTGGAACCTGCATTTTAAACATGTGTCTTAGGTCTGTTGGGGCTGGGAGTGGAAACAAGGAGTGCTGTGCTGTTCTGAGGTCACGAAATCTTCCTTTGAGATAACACCACAGGGTTTACACTCTGCCTAAACCTGGGGCGGGCAGCTGAGTGAGGTGGAAACCCTTGCCTGGGTGGAGGGATTCAGGAAGGAGCAGAAATTGCCATCGGTTTACGGCTCTGTGAGGGTTCTCCTCCCAGTGGCAGTTTAAGAATCACCGGTTGATTATTGTGATGTTTCTATTTGTTTTTACTTTCAAAGATGTTTATAGCATTGTTTGGTGGTAAATACTAGAGACAGTTAATGGCCATCAATAAAATCTCATTTGAATAAATTATGCATAAAAGGAATTTTTTCCACATTGATGGTGTGGAACTCTCTCAAAATGTAATTGAGAGAGAAGTAGAAAATAATAGAGATATCTTTATAAAATGAATTCCCCCTTTTTGGATAAAGAAAGCCATAACACTTTAGCATGTATACCTGAGCAGGTTAGTATGTACAGGCATAAGTGAATATGTCTTTTATGGGGTTATAAGCACATGAAGAATGAAGGGCAGATACCATGTGCTGGTGGGGGAAGGAAGGATTGACAGGTATTAGAGGGAGAGAGGAAATCTTTCCTTTAGGAAATTTTACTAAAGAAATTCTGCTTGAATGAAATAAACCCATTTATCTAAATTGTGTGTGTTTGTATGTTTAATGTTTGCCTGGTATATCTTTTCCCATTCGTTTACTTGCAAATTACCTAGGTTATATTTGAAATATGCACACAGTGTATCAAAAGATAGCACATAGTTGGATCGTGTCTGACTCTTTGTAACCACATAGACTTTAGCCCACCAGGCTCCTCTGTCCATGGAATTCTCCAGGCAAGAATACTGGAGTGGGTAGCCATTCCCTTCAGGGGATCTTTCCGACCCAGGGATAGAACCCAGGTCTCCCGCATTGCAGGCAGATTCTTTATCATCTGAGTCACCAGGGAATCCCACTTTTAAAAATCCACCAACATCTGTTTTTTTTTTTTAAATAATAATTGGTATATGTAGATATTATATGCAGATGGTTTACATTTAAGGTCCATCTTAAGTCTGCTGTTTCATTGTTTTGTTTCCTCTTTATTTTTTTCTTACCTTTGAAACCATGTCCCATAGGGTTAAAAAAAACATGACTGGCAGAAATTCTCGAGCTTGTCTTAGAGCTTGTTAAAAACCCCTCTACTTGCAGCCTGCCTTCACTTAATTATTCTATTGCAAATTGCATACACTCCAAGTTTCAGGTAGCCCAAACTATAAGATATTTGCCCTAGTTGTTTGCCAGGAGTTTTGAATCAGCTGTGTCTAATTCAGGGTTGAGCCAGCTAAGACTTGTTGGGACCACTGACCCTGAAACTAGACCTGAGTAGGTACCCTACAAAGGAATTTTTGACATCAGAGGACCAACACCTCCCCCTCATATCTGGTCTAAGCACTGATATTTTTGAATATGCATCCCATGAGGAAGCAGGCAACTCAGATACACCTGCACAGAGCTCTGGTTACAACTTTTCCAGGCACTTTTCCTCACACTTAAGACCACCCCACTTCTTTATCCCACAAATATCTCAAGACACTTGCCTTTGTGTGGGGGAGGAATCTGAGACTGGTTCTCCCATCTCCTCACTTGGCTGCCTTGTGAATGAACCCTCTTTTGGTTGCAAACTTTGGTATCTCTGCATTTGACTAGATGTGAATTGGACAAATGATCCTGCTTCAGTAACCCCTTCTTGCAAGTTACTTGAATGCTTTTGGGGGATTCCATCTTGATTTATTCCATATTTATTTATGGCTTTGTATTGATTTCTTGGTGGTTGCTCTGAGTAAACATCACCACCCCCTGGTATTACATTTTACCTCTTGGAGTAAAGTGTATTTAGGTCTCCTTACCCACCCAACTTTTAAATAGAATTGTTTTTTCTTTAACCAGCAAATGATTCCAGAAACTCAAGAGAATAGTCTAGTATGATTACTGCTATTTTTACCCAATCCCACATTCCTTTGCCCTTTCTGGAGTTCCAAGCCATTCTTAGTAGGAACTTCCCTTAGTTCTTTCAGGGTAGGTTTGCTAGCAACAAATTCTCTTAGTTTGCCAACATTTGAGAGTGTCTTTACTTCCCCATAAAGGATATTTTCACTGGGTATAGAAATCACAGTTAGCCATTTTCTTTCAGCACTTGAAAAATATGGTGCTGATTCATTCTCCATCACCTCTGTGGATTTCAGATCAGAAATCTTATTATTTGATTGGTGTTTCCCTTCAGGTAATGCATCATTTTTCTCTGGCTGCTTTCAAGAATTTTTTCATTATCTTTAGTTTTCAGGAGTTTAGTTGTGGTGTGTTTTGGCCTGATTTCTTGGATTTATCCTGTTGTTGTTATTGTTGTTCAGTCATTAAGTCCTATCTGACTCTTTGTGAGCCCATGGACTACAGCATGCCAGTCTTTCCTGTCCTTCACCATCTCCTGGAGTTTGCTCAAACTCATGTCCATTGAGTTGGTGATGCCATCTAATTATCTCATCCTCTGTCACCCCCTTCTCCTCCTGCCCTCAATCTTTACCAGCATCAGGGTCTTTTCCAATAAGCCAGCTCTTTGAATCAGGTGGCCAAAGTATTGGAACTTCAGCATCAGTCCTTCCAATAAATATTCAGGGTTGATTTCCTTTAGGATTGACTGGTTTGATCTCCTTGCTATCCAAGGGACTCTCAAGAGTCTTCTCCAGCACCACAGTTTGAAAACATTGATTCTTCAGTGCTCAGCTTTCTTTATGGATGTATCATTTTGGGATTTATCCAGTTTCTTGAACCTGCAGCCATGTCTTTTGTCAAACTTTGGAAAGTTTGTGCTATTATTTCTTCTAATATTTTTGTAGTTCAATCTATTTTCTCTCCTCTGGGTCTCAATTTTTTTTTTTTCTGTCCATAGGCCCCTTCCTTCCTCATTTTCAAGTTTACCTTCTGTGTTTTCAGGTTGAATAAATTCTCTTCACCCATCCTGAAAGTTTCTGATTCTATCCTTTGCTATCACACTATTTTTGAGCCTTTCCAACACATTTTTTATTTAAGTTGTGTTTTACAGTTTGATAATTTCCACTTGGTTCTCGTCTTATAACTTCTAATTCTTTACTGAGAGTTTCCAGTTTTGTATTTGTCTCAAGGGAATTCGTCATTGCCTGCTGAAATGTTTTTATGATGGAGGCTTTAAAATCTTTACCCAGATAACTCCAACATCTAGTCCATCTCTATCTGCTCCGACGATCACATCTGCTGATTGTCTTTTCTCATTCATGGTATGGTTTTCCTGGTTCTTAGTATGAAGAGTAATTTTCTGTTTTACCCTGAACATTTTGATGAGCCTCTGGAACCTATTTAATCTTTTTGTAGCATGCAATCACTCCTGTGGAGGTGAAGTGTGAGGGCTGGGTGGGTAGGTGGGACCCATGGTTATCTCCCCATCAATATGGTCACTACTCATGCACCCTTCTTGTGGACAGGTGGGGTGGAGGTTCAGCTTCCCTCTCAGCCCCACTAACCCTTCCTGGAGAAAGTGGGCTCTGACTAACACCTCTTAACTACTCCTGAGTGGGAGGGGGGTAAATGCTCAGCTCTCTGCAGGGCCACCGTGATGCCAGTGGAGGGGGAGGCAGAGTGTCAACTAGCCCACTCCTGCCAACTTTCATCTTGTTCATGCTGAGTGGGGTGGAGAGTCAGACCTCTGCAGGGCCCCACAGATATAGAGGTGGGGTAATGAAGCAGTGCTGACAAAACCCTGCTTACACAGCTCCTCCAGTCTCATTGCTGCTGGGTGAGGCTGGGGCTCAAATCATGATGGTGATTATCATGATGATGATGGTGATGCTGCTGTTGCTGGTGATGATTGTGATGGTGATGACGATGGTGATACTGATGATGGGGGTGATGGTGCTGCTGCTGATGGTGATGATGGTGGTGATAGTGATAAAGCTGAAACACCAATACTTTGGCCACCCGGGGTGAAGAGCCGACTCATTGAAAAAGACTCTGATGCTGGGAAAGATTGAAAGCAGGAGGAGAAGGGGACGACAGAGGATGAGATGATTAGATAGCGTCACCAACTCAATGGACATGAATATGAGCAAATTGGGAGACAGTGGAGGGCAGAGGAACCTGGTGTTCTGCAGTCCATGGGGTCACAAAGATTTGGACACCACTTAGCAACTGAAAAACAACAACAATGGAGATGATGATAGTGATGATGGTGATGATGATGGTGATGGTGGTGATGTTGATGATGATGATGATGATGGTGATGATGGTGGATATAATGGTGATGACTGTAGGTTTCTGACCTCTAGGTCATCTTCAGCACTAAATTTAATGTGTTGTTTGGGGTATGGACAGGGAAAGTAACTCAAGACCCTGACAGAGTTTATATCAGAAGCTTTGAAACTGATCTGGCTTCTAATTCTGGCTTCCCTAAGCAGAGTGGGAGGTCCAGGGAAATGTCCGGTAGGCTAGGCTGCTGCTAATGAGGGAAGAGAAATAGAGCTTGGCCCCTGCTTTGTCTACATGAAAGACCAGGGTTTGGGAATGAGGTAGGCTTAGTCCTGGAGGAGGAGGAGGAGCCCTCTGGCTTTGGGCTCCTCAGACCTTGCCTGCCAGGAGGCCAAAGAACGAATCTGAGCCAGTTTCCCATTTCTGAGATATGGGCTCCCACTCCCCACATCTTGCAGAGGCCTCTTCTGACTGCTTCTCATCTTC